AGGTCTTTTCCAACCTAAACGATTCTATGATTCTATTGCCAATTGTTGTCACGGAGAATAATCCCCTCTTATGGGCTGATATCTCTTACCAATATTAGAGATCTTTTTATTTGGATATGTAGATATCATTTTACAACCTATTTAGAATGGAGACTTGATTCTTCATGTCTCTGCCTGTTTGAAGGGATTTCGTAGTTTTAGTAAGTCCCTATTAAGACATTTTTGCTTTGTGCAGCATCCCTGAAATATGCATCCATGCCTTTATCCTATGATAAGCTTGAAATACTAGTATATTCACACATAACTGAATCTTTATGGTTATTTTCTCCCTAATGACAGCTGCGGGGTGTATCACTTCTTTGGTGGTGTGGTTTTTTTTTTTTTTTTTTTAAGGCTAATGTTGATTGCCTAGCAGCCACAATTTTAGTACTGCTGTGAAGATCAGGACTGGCTACCTGATAAAATGTGTAAAAGATGATGTGGGATTTGGTCTCAGTTCTTCTGCTTGTGACTTGCATGCGAGCACATGGCTAGGCACTAAACTGGGACTTCATAGCAGTTATTCATAGAATCATAGAATGCTTTGGGTTGGAAGGGACCTTTAGAGGCCACCTAGACCATCCCCCCTGCAGTGATCAGGGACAGCTTTAACTAGAGCAGGGTGCTCAGAGCCCCAGCCAACCTGACCTTCAATGTTGCCAGGGCTGGGGCCTCCACCACCTCTCTGGACAACCTGTTCCAGTGCTTCACCATCCTCATAGTAAAAAACTTCTTTCTTATGTCTAGTCTAAATCTATTCTTCTTTAGTTTAAATCCATTATTCCTTGTTCTGTCACAACAGGCCTTGCTAGAAAGATTATCCCTATCCTTCTTATAGGCCCCCTTTAAGCACTGAAAGGCCTCAATAAGGTCTCCTTGCAGCCTTCTCTTCTCTAGGCTGAACAACCCCAACTCTCTCAGCCTGGCCTCATAGGAGAGGTGCTCCAGCCCTCAGATCATTTTTGTGTCCCTCCTCTGGACTCGCTCCAACGGGTCCATGTCCTTCTTGTGCTGAGGGCTCCAGAGCTGGACACAGTACTGCAGGTGAGGTCTCACCAGAGCAGAGCAGAGGGGCAGAATCACCTCCCTCGACCTGCTGGCCACGCTTCTTTTGATGCAGCCCAGGATACGGTTGGCTTTCTGGGCTGCAAGCGCACATTGCCGGCTCATGTCCAGCTTTTCATCTACCAGTGCCCCCAAGTCCTTCTCCGCAGGTCTGCTCTCAATCCCTTATTATTGACAATAATAGCTTTATTAAGGTTTTAAAATTATGTAGAAAGCTGTTCCAATCGTATCTTGCTCTCTGGAAATGTACCGTAGGTAGTGTTTGCAGCTTTCACTTAAGCTAGGCTAATCCAAGTGATGTAACCAGACTAAAGCAAATCATTGCAATAAAGGCGAGTCAGATAGTATTCTGTTTTTATCATGGTGGAATGGTAGTGAAGCCTTAATTAATACTGTCTTAAACTTTTCAACCTCACAGTTATACAAAACATTCATTCCCTTATGTATCAAATTTGTGCGTGCTGTACGTCATTCTGAACTTAAATGTTCTTGCCCTTGGCAAAATTTACTAGGCCTGTAAAATTTTTTTCCTTAACACAGATCTGGTTATATTCATTAGCTCATTATTGCTGACAGTATTTCTTTCACCCGCTGTTTCTTACCTAGCCCCTGCTCAGTGTAGTGGTGGTCATTGCTGAGTAAAGCTCAGAGAGGAGTGTGCAAGTTGTCGTTTTTAACTGGTCTGGTCTCGTCATCTTTTCCATTTTTTTTTTTAGTTAAAGGATGTAGGTGGTCTTTTACATTAAAAAAAAAACATTTTTCCCCACTAGTTATCAATAGCTGGGCACTCAAAGTAGTAGTAAAGTCCTTGTTTCCCCTAATTTGTTATTCAGTACTGGCAGGGCTTCAAGAAGGAACATTTTTGGCTGAATGTTGTTTACATTGTATGTTTTAAGTACCATGTGGCCAGTCTCCTTTTTTTTGGTGCTTGCTGCCAGAAAAAGATCTTTCTTAGGCTTTTTGTTCAATAATTGAATCGAAGTTCATCCGTCCTGTTTTGAAGCCTGACTGGAGATTGTTTCATTGGTCCTGAAGTCCATGTAACAGTAAAGAAAAATATACAAAGATTCTGAAAAAGGACCACCTAAAGTCTCTATCAGAAAGTAGATTAGATAACTCCAGTCAGTATCCTTCCTTCCAAAGACGTTGGAGAAGAAAGGCTGTTCTAGGTTTTTCTGAATGTTTGGTATATCTAATACAGCTGGATCAAAGTGATAGGGAGCAACAGAAAACTTTCAGATAATAAGTGATTAAACTTTTTGTTTCCATTTAAAACCAGTGGAAAACCAAATAAGAGTTCCTTTCCATTGCGTTTTTTGATGCTCAGGTAAAGGAAAAGATTGTTGAAGATTTATAGTTTGCAGTCTGTAGATAAAATTGCTCTCGACTGTGATTGGGAGGGTGTTGTTTGAAGACATACCTTTTGCTTTTATTGTATAAATACATTAATCAGGTGGATGTGCCCTTCTGGGGAAAGGTTATGCTAGATACTTGTTTAGTATGGCAAAGTTAAGATTATTACAAAGCCCTTTCTTCCCTCACCCTTGCTGTTGGTACCTGGCTAGAAATAGCAACACTGACATAACTGCCTCATGGGCTATTGAAGAACCTGTTTTTTCAACTGATGTTGCCTCATTTGATTTTACTTTCGATAATTGAAAAAAAGTAACATTTGGCCAATGGTGATCTTTCAAGTCACACACTAAGGACCTCTGTTTGCCTTTTGATCTTATTTATTTCCAGTTTGTAAAAGGCATAATTCTCTGACTAACATTTGCTAGCGCAAGCAGGTAGTGGCAAGAGAGTTACACAATTAAAATAACTGTCTGGTACAGGTTATTCTGCTTATGCAGAGTACTTAATGCTGTGTTCACCTTTCTGCAGCAACAATCCACTCGCCATGTGGTATTACCCTTCTTAATCTTTTGATTTAGTGGTGTTTTGTTTCCAACATGGGTCACTTTGACCAAATTGGTTTGGGAAATGCTTGTGTGTGCAACTGTGTCAATTGATCTTAAGGGTGAGTAATCTCTGGCATGGAGATGGTGACCTTTTCAATTGGCTGAAGTGCATTCAGGAGATGGTATGCGATTGCAGCCTCACAAGAGCAGTTTTCTGTTATAATGATAGCTGTGCTATATGCAGTGGAAGCATCAGCTTGGAAAAACTGACAGTCTGCCAACAGGACCTCATTAATCGCTATAAATTAGATAGCTATTTGTTGTCTGACTGCAGTAACTGTGCTCCCTAGTCACAGTCCAGGAACGCTTCATCATTTACTTGTGGTCTAATCACAACTAGATTTTAATTACCATTGCATAAGAACATGAGAGAACCACATTACATAAATATTTTCAGATCTATCAAAGCTTCTGATTAATATTGGGTTACTTGTCAATTTAAGTAAGGCTGGATTGGTTGCAGCTGGTTTTTGGGAAGTGACTTGTTGTAACACTCTTCCTACAAATACGCATTCTGTTTGCTTCAATTAGATGATTGCTAAAAGCAATGATAGTCTTTCTGATATGAAAACAAGTAAACTATCTAAGATCTCTTCAATTTTTCTCTCAAATAGATGTGCACTTAGAATTAGAAGAACGACTAGCAAAATTCATGAGGACAGAGGAAGCTATTATATACTCATATGGATTTGCAACAATTGCCAGTGCTATTCCTGCATATTCAAAAAGAGGGGACATTGTGTTTGTGTAAGTATTGTTTTCTACTTTGGAAATTCCAGATTAAAGAGTTTTCCTTTCCGTTTTTCTTTTCCATTATTCTTAATCATATTAAGTTAACCATTTAGAAAATAATGCTGGTTTTGATCAAGTATTTTGTTGTACAAAGCTCAAATATCTTTTCTTCACTGAATACTCCAAATCAGATCAATTACTGCTTTTATCATGGAAGAGCAGACTTGGGCACTCAGCTGTAAAAAAAAACCCACAAACTTGTGCATGCATGAACTAACAGAAGTCTAATACCTAGTTGTCTTCTTAAGAAGCTGTACAGTCATATTTGCTTTTCTCCTGTTTACTGCTGCCTTTTCACCTTTCTTTCAGGACAGTTGTTCCCCTCACGTATATTTGCAATGGATTAGTTGGATAAATATTGGTAGATATTAAAATAACACAAGAACAGCTATGCAGGGTCAAACTAAGGGTTCAGCAAGCCCAGTGCCTCATCCCTGAGAGCAGCCAGTCATAATTTGTCTAGGGAAGAGTAAAAAACCAGGAGAAACAATGTAATAATACTCAAAACTTTCTGAGCCAAACAGGAGGGTTTGGATTTTGTAGTAGTTAATGGATTTTTCTTAAGCCTTCCTATTCTTTTAGTACCTTTGTAGATCTTTAATATTCAGAATGCTTCTATGACATGTAATTTCACAGTTTAACTTGAACATTTTATGAAAAAATATGAAGAAATACCTGTTTTGAATATAACACCTACTAATTTCGATTGATGCATTTGATTTTTAGACAGTGAACTGATGCATCTTCTCCATGGGGGTAGTGAGTGACTATGTGGGGCTTAGCTGCATGCTGGGGTTCAGCCACAACACACTGATACTTTTGTATTTGTCTACCAAAATCTTTCCTCAGTGCTGTCTTTTCTAAGGGTAAAGCTTGCAGCCTATTTAACTTCTTTTACAGAAGGTCTTTCATAACTTTGATCGTGTTTTTTTGGTTGTCTTTGAACATTTTCTGCATCAGCTTTTTTGAGATGAACTACCAGGATCATGCACACTATTCAAGATGCCAGTGTATCCTGGAGTTAGGTATCTTGTACTGTTTCAGCTTCTCACTGACAAAAGACCTCACCATATTTAAAAGCAACTTGCCTGAAATTACTGCATTTAGCACATGTAGAAGGTTTGATTTAGTTGCCACTTTTAAAAGATTACTCGACTTAAGCAGCTGTGAAATCGCATACCCCATCATGCTCAGAGATTTGCTTTTCCAACACCTAAAAATGGCGGATAGTTCTTTGAACCATGAGATGGTAATTCCCAAAGGATATTAAAAAGCAGGTTTTGAATACTTGGAGGACCACTATAAATGTTACAGGCACATCTTTGCACCTTTTTTCTAAGACACAGAGCAAATGGAATGAGAGGTTTCTGGGATAATTACCATGGTATTGTACCCACTTCATGGAATGCTGTGCTCAAATAAACTGCTGTCACATACAAACAAAAGGACCAGTGTACACTTCAAGAAAAGAGCTGTTGGCTTGCTTTTAGTGGTTATAGTGCATAGGAAAGTTGAGAAGCTTTAGAAATGAGTTTTCAAATTATAAATAAAATGTGTGCTGCTTTAATAAATCTGGTTTTAACTACACCTAAGTACAGATATCTGCTCAAAAGCAGGACAGTCCTAATAGCCAGCTTTCTTTGAATAATTGTTAAACCGAGTGTAAACTTAGAAGGGCTTGCTGTATTTACAGAGATGAAGCTGCCTGCTTTGCTATTCAGAAGGGATTACAAGCATCTCGTAGTAACATCAAGTTATTTAAGCATAATGATATGGCTGACCTTGAACGACTGTTGAAAGAACAAGAGACTGAAGATCAAAAGGTACTATTCCTTTGAAGAAATATTTGTACTCTTCTGAGGCCACCTCCCTCACATTTTTTTTCTGGGTTGTGTGATTGAATGGATGCGATGCTTATAGGCAGTTATTTGGTTTTCATAAATCCCTATTGAGCAGTTAATGTCGCTTATGTAATTAAGATGGATTTTTTTTTTTAAATTATTTATTTGCTCTTGTCTGTGTAACCACTGGAAACAAGCTCACAGGCATTGGTAGTGGGGGAATATGTTTTTGGGCAGATGACTGAAGTGTGAGATTATTTTATGTTTTTTTTAAATACTGTTACAGAGCTTTTTTTTGTCTTTTAGAAATCTGTATAACTGCATTTGCCTAATAAATCATGCAAGTTAATTATCAGTTCAAATGCCACACTGTAAAATCAACACAAAAGCAGCTAGTCCTGACCCTTTAATTTATAGAATCAACATGATTTTTTTTTCTTAGACTCTCCCCCTATCTTGCACTCAACTCTTAAGATGTTCTCTTTCTTGAAAAATTTGGGTCAGTTTGATGGCTTGCTTCTCATTCTGACAGTAATACAAAAGGATGTCCAAAAGCAGCTACTAAAATCAGGATCAGCAAGGACAGATAACTTGGTCAAATTAATTTTAAAAGAATAGGCCAAAGAGCTGTCACCATTATGTGCTTTGTTCACAGAATGCTGGAAAGTTACAGACAACAGGAAGAAAGTTGATTTCGTGCTAACACATAGAAGAAATAAAGTAGAGAAACTGCATAATTATAAGCCAATCAGTTTAATATCAGTTTAAATCAGTAATGGATCTGATTAATAGCAAATTTATAGACAACGTACTAGTTAACATACCTTCATGGAAAATACATTTTGTCATAATTCTTACATGAATTTTCAGATGTGGTTGATAGACTAGTGATGCAATTTGTGTAACCCATTTGGTTTGTTAGAGCAGAGTGCTTTGATTTAGCTACATGGGTAAAGTTTCTTCACAATTAGCTGAATGTGAACATAAAGTTGGTGGCCAAGGGCTTAATATAGACCATGTGTGTATAACTAAGACGTACTGACTAGGAAAGGGTAGATCTTACCACTAGAATTGTTCCAACTTATGAATACTTTTGGATGTGTTATATGAAGACACTCCTTGTGAGAGGTTTGTGCTGCACTGAGAATCCTGGTGCACAAACCACTTACTGAAAAGGCTTCTAAATGCTCAGACTAATGATGAATGTAATAGAGGTTAAGGTTTGTAGTACTTTGTCTGTAGTTGTATTGTCTGTATTTTATTCAGAAAGTTCAAATGGATTGGTTATGATTTGTTGGCAAACAAGGCATCCTAAATATTGTGAAGATTTAAAAGCTTTAAAATTACTACAAAATAAAGAAAACTAGTCCAATGAGGCACTTCAGTTTTTGCTTCAAATGAGAAGTACTAAGTTTAAACTGAAGTAAAAGCTTACTTGAAAAGGAGACATTATCTTCCTTCCCTTCCCATTGCTCTCCTTCCCTATCAAAAAAATCTTCAGAGCTTTGCTTGTTAGTAACAATTGATATGAACTGAAACCATATCTTTCTCTGAAGAATCCTCGCAAGGCCCGTGTAACTCGAAGGTTTATTGTAGTGGAAGGATTGTATATGAACACAGGAGACGTTTGCCCTCTTCCAGAATTGGTAAGTGGTTTCAGCTTCCCTTTTAAACTCTGCATATGAAAACATGTGGCAATGAAATAGCAGTATCATATAATTAAACCTACATAGAAAAGCTCTGCATGCAGGTTTTTTGTTTATCTTCTTGCTTTCTCAGTCATTCATGAAATGGCGATCCCAAATCTTACACTGTTTTGAAACTTCTGATTAGGATTAGGATTTGGAAGCTATAGGTAATGAGGCTTGCAGATTAATATCTGGTTATGCTCTTAGTTTTTAATCTGTAAAATATACTGTATTTTCAGCTATGCTGTATGATACTAAATCATTAAACTAAGTTATATCTTTAAAAAAAAAAGTTTCAAAGAAACCCTCACACAGCTGTCATAAACAGTGACTCCAAGGAAAACATTTATTATTCAGCATAAATTGGCTTTTTGTACAGGCTATATTCTAGTAGATAATGGAAGAAATGCTGTGAAAATGCATCATCTTGAAAGTACTTGATAGCCTATTTAAAAAAAAAAAAATTTGGTATATGAGCATTTATGAAATTTACTCAAGACTTAACATGGTGAAAGAATTCTGGAGGCTTTTAAAATGTTTTAATGACAGAACACAACTCCAGACCTGACATCTTTGCAGCATTCGGGATGCCGTACTTGTCTGTCTTTACCTTATCTCCCCCACCTGTTTTGTTACCAAATTCTGGTGGGCTTGACTTGTATTTTATATCACTTGCTCTGTTCTAGATAAAATTGAAGTATAAATACAAAGTTAGAATATTTTTGGAAGAGAGCCTTTCCTTTGGAGTCCTTGGAGAACATGGAAGAGGAATTACTGAACACTTTGGAATAAACGTAAGTGCCTTTTTTGTAAGTTTTGTTGTTAACGAGAGACATGTACAAAAGCAAATTGCACACTTGATTTCTTATACCTGTGGCATTAACAATGTTTAGCAGTGTACAATAGAAATTTGAAACATACTTTTCTTTATCAGTTTTAAAGCATTCAGGTCTTGGCACTTTCCTTTCACGTGCTTACTTGAAATAATTTTACTTATCTTTAGGGAGGAACATAACAAAAGAATTTTTACAGTGCATAATTTTTTCCTTTTTTTGGACACTCAGTGGGGTGATGATTGCAGTATTTTCCAGCCACATACACTTAAAAGTGTCACGCTTACACAGAAATATTTTGAGGGCTGGGGGTAAGTCAGAAAAATCCTCTCAGTGTATAGCCAGCTTACTTTGCTCTATTGCCTTTTACTCCAGTGGGGAAAAGTAGGATAAAGCTTTTGATGGCCCTTTCAAAGATGTTGTCTTACTACTTTACTGGCAGATTAAGCCAAACTATTTTTCTGAGAGTCTACCTTTTGTGGTGTTTATGCACCTGAGGAGTACTTTGAAATCCAATATGGTAACCTTGCAGTTGTTTGCTACCACAGCCACCTGAGCTGGGGAGGGAAGAATTGTTCTTTTGGTTGCCAGTGTCTTGGCATGGAGCATCTCCCACTACATTTTACAGTGTCTGAGTTCAGCTTGGAAGTGAAATATCAAATTTTGAGAATTCATTCTGTCTTCCCCTATCTCCTATTGTTTTCACTTTAAATATCTTAATACCAAATGTGGAAAAGAGAAAATGAAAAACAGCTTTAGAAAAGGAAACAAACAGTGCTACTGTGATGATTGCCAAGTCCCATCTGATTAATTGACTTCTATGTTAAATTCATTTATAAACATAATCTTTCAGTTTTGTCTCCTCAGAATGGGAATTTGTATGTAGCGGTCATCAAATATGGCAAAAACTGTTTGCAACAAACAAGTGAAATAAGACAATTGTGTCTTTAAGGTTCAGGCTCTGATTTAGCTAGGCTTATGCCCAATTTTAATCACATTCTAACTCCTGACCGCAGTGGGACTACTTACCATTCTTACAGGACACTGTGACACTGAATGCTTTGAGGAATTGTCACCAGTATCTATATAATTTGGATTTTATGTCTGTGTTCTTCACATTACAATGGCTGGAAAAGAGTGATCCTGTGTAAATTATCTGCAGATCTGTAAATCTCAATTTCTAAAGTCCTTTTGTATTGCTTAAAATTGTTACTTCAATTGTAGTTTCATTTTCATATGTGATAGTTCGGTGGATCTTCTGTAGTATTCATGACAATATGAAACAAGATACATCTTTAATAGATTTATCTTATAAATAGTATTTATGTGATCAAAAGCATCTCTTAATAACTTGTTAATTTAACTGGCAGATTGATGATATAGATCTTATTAGTGCAAACATGGAAAATTCACTGGCTTCTATTGGAGGATTTTGCTGTGGAAGATCTTTTATTATTGACCATCAGGTAAGCCAGGTCTCATTTTTATATGGTGTGGCAGGATTAGTTACTTAGTTACTAATATCAATTTGCAAGGAGTATTATGATACAAATTATAATGCAACATTTGATTCCATACAGAAACTCTCTGGTTCTATGCAATATTGTAGATGAATTGGAGACCTACTTTTAAATCCTTCCAAGAACCTGTAAGTGTGGAGGAGAGGTTGTTTAGATGTATGTGAGTTAACTTTTAAAACATTGTCTATAATGCTATAAATAAAAAAGTGACATTTTTTCTTTTTTTTTTTTTCTTTTTCCCCCACAGCGATTGTCTGGTCAAGGCTACTGCTTTTCTGCATCCCTACCTCCTTTGTTAGCTGCTGCTGCTATTGAGGCTCTGAATATTATGGAAGATAATCCAGGTACTTAAGTCAGGAAAATCTTATTCTTCAGTCTTTCTTCACCCCAAACTAATAACTCATACTTCTCCCTATTTTGATTCCTCACCCTTTTACTCTTGTAAGTCCTCTCTCTTTTTCAGCTAATTAATTTTACATGCATGATTTTTTTTCTTCATATAATTTCCCATCTTGCTTTTCTTCAGTGTTTCCTCCCCTTTCCTTCTTCCAGCTGAAAATGAGGAAGTTAGTTGAGGCTAGGAGGGACAGAGATAGTTATCACTAAGCAAAGGAGAAATTATTATTCTGCTTTATTGACTAGTGATATACTTCTTCTTGAAAACAAATTCCTTCAAGACAAATGGAGGAAGGGAAGGTTAAAGAGAAACAAATGAGAATATATTTCCTCAGGACTGAACAAGCCTTTCCTTTCTGCTTTCACTACTTTTTTTTTTTTTCCCCTTCTCCCAGAGAAGAATCTCAGGAATGATCATGGTGCAAACACCTGCAATTTTGGCAGGACCACGTACAGGACATTTGGATAAAGCTGGCAGGCAGGAGTTTCTGCTCTAGGAGTTAGAGAATTGCCCTTGTTGCTAGAACCAAAGAAAGTGGTTTGTTTTTTTGTTTGTTTGTTTTGGGTTTTTTTAGGGGGTGGAGGGATTGAAAAGTGTATGAGGATGACAAAATTGGCCAAATCTGTGTGTATTTGGTTTTAACCTTCATTAGCATCAGCAGATTGGAGGACATCTGCAGAGAGAGGTAGTATTTAATTTATCACAAATGAATAAAAACTACTGGGTAGCCCACTCCTAGTCCTCAGAAGTCAAACAAAAGCAAGAAATAATTAAGAGTAAGTTACGGGACTGTAAGCTGTAGTGGAGGGTCAGCCTTTGCTGAGGAAAAGAACCAAGGTTTGCAGATCCAGGAGTCAAAATTTCCTTTTTAAGAATCTGCAGTGAGTTGGTGAAAGGATCAAGGAACAGAGTCTGTATGGCTGTAGATATTTGATAGATATAAACAAGTTGCACCTGCCATTTCAATCTCATTACCAAGTGTTTGTGTCATCCTTTCCATATGATCATGAACCAATGCAGCTGGAGTAATGAGATAAGGGGAAGCTCTTAAAAGCCTGTCATTTCCTGGCAGAAATGGGAGTCAGGAACATTACGAAGACTAGTGAAGAGACTTAGCACTTCAATAGATACGTATATCTTAGCTTTCCTTCCGAATGCTTTTTTTGAAATCTTAGCCTTATAGAAATGTAAAGTAGAAACAGGATATCTAAGCCTTTTCCTTCTTTCTTTTTTTTTTTTTTTTGGGTGTGTGTAGACATTTTTCAGACTCTCCGGGCTAAATGCGAACGAATTCACAAAGCTTTACAGGGGTAAGTGTATTTTGGGGTGGGGGGAGTTTGGCTCTTGTTGATTTGACCATGCCTTTGTAATGCCAATTTTAAAGAACTCTCCGTGCCCAAATCTGTTTCTGGTTTTACAGATGCTTAGACTGGGAAATGTACACTAAATTATGTATGTATTAAAGGAAGAAAGTCATCCTTTTCTAACTGTCTCTGTTATGCTACTAAAAAGAGTCCCAAGTTTTTAAAATCCTTTTTTCAGGTATTGAGATGAGATTATACCTTAATGCTAGTGACGATGTTTGCAAACCCTTAAGTCTTTAGGACAGTGTGCTAGTTTTCAATGGTATGAAGTGTTGATAAGAATTCTGAAAAAGAATGCGTAAGTAAAAGCATTTGGGGTGTAGTTTAGCAGATACTCTTTCAGACAATTCAATGCACCTTGCAATCACCTTTAGTACAATATTGTTCTTACATGAGACTTGAATGTTAAATAGTAATAGAAATATTCATTATTCTGTAGGCACATAGAAAACTGCTAGAATTTATCTGAAAAGTAAGGATTCTGTTTAAAATTTCCTAACACTATCCTGTTTTAAAAGATGGCTATACTGAGTAATTTCTTTTTTTACCTGACAGGTTTTGATACTAAAATATATGGAAACTACTGTGACTATTCAACAACTGTTTAATGTGCAGAATGGATATGTTAGCTGGTATTTTACAATTAATTTTCTTCAACAGTTTTCTGTGACATATTACAGAAATGAATAACATTTAAACACACATAAAATCTATAATGCATGATTGATTATACTAGCTGACTTTTTTGTAGTATTAGTCACTTAGTTATTCAGTGTGAGTTGCTTGTTATTTCAAATAAGCAGTTTCCTGCTTAGCCAATGTTTTATGTTAGAACTTCAGTTACATTCAACTTCTTTGGAGTAATCCTACCATCAAATAATCCTTCTCTCCTTTGGGTGTATTCTGTTTCAGCAGGGGTTTAAAATGCATAGGCTTTCAGGTCAAAGATACCCAGATGCTTCTACGCTTGAAATTACAATTTTAGAGTAACTTGAAAACTGTTAGTGTCTCTTCTTTGCTAGTAATAGAATGTTATGATTGAGCTGAAAGGAGAATAATTATAATATTCTTCTCTACCTGTCATTTTTAGGTGATAATTATAAATACATTGAAAGGAAAAAAAAAGTAAGGAAAAAATATCAAACTTTTACTTGTTAATATTCAACACAAAACAGAAGCGGATAAGCCACGGCTGGTACTTTTCTATCCTGTGACTGATTCTACTTTTTCATTTAAATTCAGTAATTAGTATAGTCACAAATCAACAAGTAGGCAAAATGCCTAATTGTCTGTAATAGGACTTTTGTATTTTTGCCTTACGGAAAATGGTGTGGTAATATAGAGGTCCAAAAAAATTGCAAAGTTCTTCTAGGTCATACTGGGAAAGGACTTGAAAGATTTAACAACACCAGGTAATTGGAGAGCCCTGTAGCTGGAAAACTATCCTAACATTTGCATAAAGTAGTATCAGAGAGAAGGTTTGAAGTAATATTTGCAGGGTACAGTGTGTTTTTCTTTAATTAATAACCACAGTAGAAAAAGTGTGTGATGGTTCGAAGAGGAGGCAAAGTTTTCAGAAAAAGCTTTTTTTAATGCTGTGATCTTAAATGCACTCATCTTTCCTGCCTAACCATGGCTGCTGCTTGACTGCAGTTCTTCAGGGTACTCTCACTGTGATAGAGTGGAACTAACTGTCGGTTTAAAAGAGAGCATAAAATGGTGGTAGAACTGTATACAAAGAAAGTGGGAAAGAATACATACCTTTTTCTCCTTTCTCGTAATAGACCAAATGCAGTGAGAGGAACAAATTAAAAGTAAAGGAAATCTTTCTTAGCCAAGGTCTAAACTAACTCATGAAATTTAGGACTTGCTATATAAGGGCCAGTGCATGATTAGCATTCAAAAAAAGATGTTGGTCTTTGTATGGGCTATGGTGGGGGAAGAAACCGTCCTGTTGTAAGCTAGAGGAATGACTGGTGTTTATTCCTGTTCTGGGTACAAGACAAGTGCTGGTTTGTGGAAGAAATGGAAGAATTCTGAATCCTGCATAGGACTACTTTCTTACTGTCTATGGCAGTTTATGAAGCATAAGAAAATGCAGTAAGAGATGGAATGATTAACACAAATCAGGAATATTCTTAACTTCCTTAACAATCTTAGAAAAAGTAGATTTCTGTGTTGTGTTTAAAAATATCTAGCGTCTTAGTAAATACAAAAGAAGAAGCTCTGTTGCAGGGAGACAGGACAGACAGGACAGAATTTTACATTTTTTTAAAAAGCATGACAGTAGTAGGTAGCATCCCTTAAATAGTTCATTACTTATTGCATATCCTGCACCTGGCTGAGAATTTTCCAGTAAAGCAAGTTTTCATTGGAGGAAAGCAGAATTATTTTTAAAGATTTTTTCCTTCCAGAAAAACTTCGTGTTTTTTCAGTGAGACCTCATTCTAGTTTTCTCTTAGCAAAACTGATGGAAATGTTTATGGTGTTCAGAGCAGCCCAGCTACACAGGGTTCCCTACTGCCAAGAACCTGGCCTGCCACTCAGTTCTGCAGCCCAGTCTTGTAGCTGGGGTGCAGAAAGCTGTAAGGAGGGAGCTCCCCAGGGCTACATCCATACTGGTACGTTAAAGTCAGGAAGCATTCCTGGGCACTCGATCTTGATTGTCTCCTCTGTCAAATTGCTGGAGTGACCTGTGGCATGGGTTTGGCCCAGGCCAAGCAATGCTCTTTGAAAGGACTCCTGGATACAGTTCAAGAGCTGGTGTGAGCCAGGAGCTCTTCCCAGTAGTCAGTTTGGATGTGGCCACCCTGACGTGGAGACTTAGATTTTAAAAGTATGGATGTGAGTCATTCCATACCCATTCACCACAGGGCCAGAAAACAGTCCAAGGCATATTTAGTTTGCTAATGTAGAACTAGCCTTAAAAGGAGTGTTAGAGTTCAGGAGGCTTGTTTCTGTTCCTTTGCTACTTCAAAATCAGATCTTTCAGACTGCTGTCTTTTTTGTGTGGAAGTTGTACATTTTTGTTTTACTTTCCCAGCATTTCTTAGGAAAGTGAATTCTGATTTCAGGAAAATTACAGTGTGTGTGCATTAGATTCTCAAATACTTGTTGAATCTTAATTTGGCAGAGGCTCAGAAAAACATAGTTAATACTTTACATGCAAGTTAAAGTATTGTCATTGGAAGACCTCGTGTTAAACTCCTGGGTGTATTCAAATAGTCGGGTAAAGTAGAATTGTAGAATCATAGAATGCTTTGGGTTGGAAGGGACCTTTAGAGGCCACCTAGCCCAACCCCCCTGCAGTGAGCAGGGACAGCTTTAACTAGAGCAGGGTGCTCAGAGCCCCAGCCAACCTGACCTTCAATGTTGCCAGGGATGGGGCCTCCACCACCTCTCTGGGCAACCTGTGCCAGTGCTTCACCACCCCCATTGTAAAAAATTCCTTCCTTATATCCAGTCTAAATCTACCCTCCTTTAGTTTAAATCTGTCACTCCTTGTCCTGTCACAACAGGCCTTGCTAAAAAGATTGTCCCCATCCTTCCTATAGACCCCCTTTAAGTACTGAAAGGCTGCACTAAGGTCTCCCCGCAGCCTTCTCTTCTCTAGGCTGAACAACCCCAACTCTCTCAGCCTGGCCTCGTAGGAGAGGTGCTCCAGCCCTCGCATCATTTTTGTGGCCCTCCTCTGGACCCGCTCCAACAGGTCCATGTCCTTCTTGTGCTGAGGGCCCCAGAGCTGGACGCAGTACTGCAGGTGAGGTCTCACCACAGCAGAGCAGAGTAGAGGGGCAGAATCACCTCCCTCGACCTGCTGGCCACGCTTCTTTTGATGCAGCCCAGGATATGGTTGGCTTTCTGGGCTGCAAGCGCACATTGCCGGCTCATGTCCAGCTTTTCATCTACCAGTACCCCCAAGTCCTTCTCTTCAGGGCTGCTCTCAATTCCTTCATCCCCCAGGCTGATGGGGCTGATGAATTATGTCATTCATCATCGTAAGATGAATTATGTCATTCAGGTTACTGCAGCTGTGACTGACAGAAAAGGTTTTAAGATTAAAATTAAGTTTGAAACTTGTAAGCAGCCTCTGTGAGTAAGCGTGTAGCAAATACAAAGCATGTTGTTCAGGCAAAGACCCAGTTTGAATGGAAGTGATAGAAAGCTTGCTTCCTACTCATCTTTTCCCATTTACTCTTTGGAGGGGGACGGTTTATGATTATCTATTTCAGTTAAAGAATTATGTCTGTTTTATAACTAGAAGTAAAACTGTGTGTCTCTAAACAAAACCTAATTGTTTTGTCTCAAACTCTGTTCTCCAGGAAATTGATTTAAATTACAGTGAAACTTTTGTCTGACTTCTACTCTCATCTCCCTACTTGTACAACGCTACTTCTTAGAAATCAGGTCACTCCTAGGGAACATAACTAAGAACAGATATGTTATACAGCTATACTGTGTATTGTCTTTCTACCTTGTAGCTGGACCTTGGACTGCTTTTCCTTGTTCTTTACATTACCAAATGTTGTATCCCTGATCCCTAGATATTTGTGCAGTATTGAGATAAATGCAGTCTGTGTGCTTATGTATTAAAGAAATCGCCTGTGTTTGGTTAGTTTGCAAGTGTAGGTGAATGACACCAGAGTGTTTGCAGTTTTGTGGCTGAAGAAGAATATCAGTTTGATTTGTCTTTCTGGAATGGACTGTGAATTTAAATAGCATTATAGAAATAATGCAAGATGCTTTCCATGCTAGAGTATAATTTTATTTTTTCAAGGTTATAAATGATTCGGTGTGTTTGTAGTGCCAATTCTCTCTCCTATAGGCCGCAGTTTGGTGTTTATGGGATTAACATCTCTTCTGCTCTGGCTGGGTCTTGAACTTGGTAAAAATAGAAAACTTATTTGAAAATGAGGGTATAAACTTAAGATGTGTGTGAGGCAAGCTCATCAAAGTCAGGAAGTCAAAATTACGGCTGATGATGGACATGCATTTATGGGAACTGTTAATTTTGGAGACCAGAGGTCTTGCTTGGGTATTGGATACAGTTTTTTCGAGGGCAATAACTCAGTCCTCAATATGATGATACATTGTGCCAGGACAGTGACAATCAAATGTCAGTCATTCAATCAAATTCTAGGAACCCAATTGACAGCTGTCCCTACATATAGATGTGGGACCAATTCTAGTAATATAACTAGTTGTAGAGGGGCTTCTAAGTGACAGATGATGTTGTAAAGATTTTCTACAAGAAATAATTAAAATAAGAAGTCTTGCCAAAAAAAATAAACCTTGTTTCTTCTTATCACATAAGTGGGTAAGAAGATTTATTATTATTTATTTTCTTAATATAAACTCCAAAGACTTGACTTAGCTAGCTGTGTTTTTATCAGCAACATACAGGCCTAATGCTAATATTTCTTCTACATCTTTGTAAGGGTCCGTTCACAATTTCTGAATCATTAATCCTTTTTGCAAAAGCAGGAGTCGCTGTTGTTACACAAACTTGCTGAAACTACATATAGTAAACTCCTTCAGAAAGACATTCACTTGATAAGTTCTGTTATCTTTACCTATTGCAAGCTGAAATGCACATATGTTTTGTCTGTATTTGTATTAGTAAAGTGAAATATCCCTCTCTTCTCACTTGCCACCTAGTAAGGGGAAACACTATCAAGAACTTTAACACATGTGTTCGGGTAGGATGTGCATTAAAGGTTTTTTTATTTGTTTTAGGATTTCTGGCTTAAAAGTAGTGGGAGAATCTTTTTCTCCAGCATTGCACCTACAGTTGGAAGAGAGCTGTGGCTCTCGGGAAAATGATGTGAAGTTACTCAAACGAGTTGTGGATTATGTAAGTGTCCCAATAGCAATTGACATATATCATTGCCTTTGAATGTGAGTAATGAATGAAGTGCATGTGGGTAGGGAGGCTTGTTGGGTAACTTGTTGGAATGTCTTGCAGGAATGCTGCAAGAAACTCAGTTCCTTTGCTGACTATAGGGCTATATTGAAGACCATCTTCTAACCATTTCTTGCTGGAGATGTTTAGGTCTGTAGCACTGGATAAAAATATATATTAGAACTTTTACTTCAGAAAATAATTATTTCCTGTTATGTACTTCAAAAGTCAAGTTAAATTTGCATGTAAAACTGTTGCTTAGAAAACTTTTACGATGTCCATAAGAATAAAGGCTGTCATTTGAACAGAGCTCTGGTGGTGTATTTTAACTGTTTGAGGTCTAGATTTCTGTAACTTTGCTTGTTTGAGTCCATGAACTTACTTTTTTTTGTGTGTGAATCATGTTTTGTGTGTTCTATTTTTTCCATCTTCAATATACATTGGTTCTCTTTCTCTCACATGAAGGAGATGAAGGTTGATGAGGAGGTTTTGTATTTCGGGCAGCCTGTAAACAAGACTACACAACAAAAAGAAACTGAAGTTGATTTCCTTGAAAATATGCTTAAATATGATTTAATAGCCTACTTACATCAGCATTTTTGTCTTATTACTTGGAGATAGAAAGCTAAAGAAGCTACACCCTAACCTGTTTTATGAGTTTATGCTGTATGAAAATTAGAGATGATTTTGCACAACCTTTAAAACCTCCATTTGGGAAAGAACTTAACAGTTATCCTGACACCAAACTCATAAAAGTTAGTTAAAAGTATTTGGTGATCAAAAGAAGATACCATTTGAAGTTCCCAGATTGATGACTGCTGAATTTTCTTTATTTGTAGTGCATGAATAGTGGTATTGCGTTAACTCAGGCCCGCTATCTGGACAAAGAAGAAAAATGTCTTCCTCCACCCAGGTTAGTAGAAAGTCAATATGTTATTTCATTTTATTGGATATGACTCCCTATCTCTTTTCATACAATGATGGGGTTTTGTTCAGGAGGCTGGATTGAATAGTTGGTCTTGTGAAAAATGGGAAAGGCTCCATTTTAAGGTATATTTTCAGTGACTGTTACAGGATGCTAATACCGTGAAATAACTATCAGATCTACCTGAATCTCAGTGATCAGTGTGTTGCCTGTTACCAGGCACATTTCCATGAGCTGCACATCTGCAGGTAGAAAAGATAACAATCAAATTTCTGTGGTGTGTATTGGGAGGGAAAAAAAGTAGTTTGACCATTTCTGTGTAGACATATGTCATCTTTTGGGTTGAATTTGAATTCATAGTAATTTCCCTAGACATAGTGATCTTAATGTTTTAAAATTAGTACAAGAAAGGTCTAAACCTGAAGGCAAGGAGTGAAGTTTACTGTGTACGTTCTGGTTTTCTTTCTGTAGTATTCGAGTAGTAATAACAGTGGAACAAACAGAACAAGAACTGGACAAAGCTGCATCACTTCTTAAGGAAGCTGCACAGTCTGTATTGAATTAGACTGCTGGTTTGGATTCCTCTTTCCCCAAATTGTCAGAATAAGTGTTTTACACTGTATAGTGACTTCAGATGTTCAAGTGACTTCAGATATTCAAGTTCTTCCACTGATGGCACTGAAACCGGACTGAGTAACAAGATTGTTCCAGAATGGTACAAATGTGGTGAGGGGAAGAATGCTGAATTTTGGAACCAGTGAATGACACAATGTACTTGCAATTCAAACTCTACCATTACTAGCACTCCTTGAAATGGGATATCACTGTTGTATACAGGACTCTTTCATAAGGTGCATCTTAAAAAGTTTTGAATTTATTTCTTCAAACCCTTAAATGTTTTCAAAAATGTATGTGAGCATTCAGTTTTCCCCCAAAACATCTAAAATGTACCATTTTCTTTGCATATTCTCAGAATGTAGGAACTTCAAATAAATTTCAAGGAACTATCTCCCTCTTCCCCCACCTCCCAATGAAGATAGGCTGTTCCTAATACTGGCAAAAAGGAGAAAATAACACATTAAGAGATACTTTTGTGCTATATTATGCATTTATTACTGAATTATAGGAGGAACTTCAGTCCTTTTTTGTTTATATCTTTGTCTAACTATCTTTGGAAGCCAGTTTTTAGGAATGGCTGGCCAGAGAATTCCATTATCTAAATGGTAAATACATATTAAATACTATTTGCTTCCTGCATTTCATATGTAATTATATGCATGTTTGATATTATGGGCGAGGTTTTTCATATTATTAACTTAAAACATCTAAGCTGAATCCTCTGAATTGTGAAACTGGTGTAATTCCATTATAGTGTGTTCAGTCAGGGGGGCTTGGCACCAGTCTTAAAGAGCAGTCATAAGCAGCATGAAGAATGAAGCAAGGTTTTGAAACAGCAGCTAAATATTAGCTTAGTCAAACTACTTTTGAAGCACTAAAATGGTGTGTGCTTTTATCTCTAAACAGCTATACCTTAGAGAGGAAGACTCACAGATAGCTAATAAGAGTTTAGATGGTACAAATACTACTGAACTACAACTCGATATGTGCACATAATATCCCCACATAATTGGATAGTAATATTTGGAGCTTATGCTGTCAGGATTTTTGGTAAGCACAGATGTACATTATACAGATGGAAACATTACACCAATCAAAGAAAACTGGTAAGGAAGGACGACAGTAAACTATACCTTTTTGTAAAATAAAAACTATAGCTATGTATTTCAGGATTTTGCTTTAAGAATACCCGTTTCAAAATTTTATATTCTGTCTGTTCTGTATTCTGGGTTGTTTTGTACTTATGTGCCTTTTTGGTTGCTGCTACAAGGACTACAGGACTATTTTTGAGAAACATGATTGTTTAAATAAAAAGTTAATCATGTTTGATTCAGAGTTTTACTTATAATTAGATTTTGTTGCATGATCAACCATATTTTGTTGAATATTCTGCATCAGATTAGTATAGTGTATGTTGCCTCCTTCAGTTCATAGTGACTGTCTGTGCTGGCTTTCAACACTTTTTCACCTGTGTACATTCAGATAAACCAGTTAAAGTTGTATTGGGGCACTTTTGTGATTGTTGTTTGACTATTTGAAATAGTCAAATTATTACCTGTGCAATGTAGAGAAACCTTCATCCAAATGTGAAAGAGTATTCCTATTTCACCGTCATTTACATTTTTCTCTATTAACTGTGAGTAAAAACCTGTGAGAAGCCAACAATTTGGAAGAGCAGAAATGTAGGGAAGGAAGCTGAAGGAACCAAAAGTGCAGAACAATCAACCTTCTCAAGACCCTCAGAGATTGCAAGAAATGGAAATTAAAACTTGTCACTATACTTTGAGCTTGTGAGCCATTTTTGGTTTGATAATTGAAATCTGAATATTCAAGTAAACTCAAGCTTTTGATGTATAAGCTGGGAACAAATGAGGTACCTGGATTCCAGTGCAGGATAATAAATGGTTTTGGAGTTCAAGGTAAACCTGTGAAGGTAAGCAAATCGCCAGTTAGCATTGAAATACTAGGTTGCAGAATCTATATTCACTTTTTGTTGCAGTTTTGAGAACTAGCAGCAATCTTTAGATACCTGTATTTGTTTTGTTGGTTTTGTTTTTGTTTTTTGCTTTAAAATGAAGTGATAACACCTAAAGTGGCAGGAAGCAGAATGGAATTTCTGGCAATTTCAAAGCTGTGACTAAGTGGTTCGGATGAAACGAGTTCAAGTATGTTGCTAAGAGATGCTGTCATCTGATTCATTTGGCAAACACATACCCAGCATTAAAACATTGGTAAAACTGCCTTTGCCCATTTTTGTTGTTTACAGCTTTATAGAAAAGAAGTATTTAGGCCACACGAAAGTGAAACACCTTATGGTTGATAGCCGTTGAAGTACTGTTATAATGTGTGTTTTACTGACAGGTGATATACATGGTCTCTGTGAGAAATTAAGACACTTATGAGATGTAGCTGGTGGAGGGAGATATCCCTGGTCAGTTTAAGCATGGCTGGTACTCTTAATTTTGGCTTTTTTGACAAATGTCTCTGATCATGGCAAGCAGATGGAGGGAAGGATGGCTCTGAGGAAGAAAGTTGGTTGGGGTTAGGGAGACAGCAGGTGATTCTGGTTAAACTTTTGACATTAAAAAATCAGAAGCCTGTTAAGGTGCTTAAGTTCTCAGTGCTCTAGGCTAATAAATTTATAAACAAGCCTGTTTTAGTTGCTTTGTGGCTATGTTTGGATGAAGTGGGACTCTCTCATCCATTTCTTCAGATGTGGGAGCAAGGCTGGAGTCTTCGTAAATAAAT